TACCAAAAACAAACCATGTTTCTTAGGTTAAATGGGTTTTTAATTTTAGCCTATTGTCCTTCTTATTATGTGAGCTGTCTCAAGCACTGTAGTTTTTTGTATGGGGTCCATCAAAGCTTGTGCGTTGTTGTTCCCTGGTATTCTTGCTATTCATTCTTTAAGGTTTTTATTTATTGTTCCCTTGGCACCAATCACGACTGGAGTTATTGTTGTTCTAAGACCCCACATTCTTTGGGTTTCTATTTGCAAATCTCTATACTTAAGTATCTTTTCAGCTTCTTTTTCCTTAATAGTCCTGTCCGAGGGGATTGCTACATATATTATTAAGCACCTTTTGTTTTCCTTGTCCTTTATAATTATGTCTGGCTTGTTGGCAGCTATTGTTCTATCTGTTTGTACCTGAGTGTCCCAAATCACTGTTACGTTTTTTGTCAGTTCTACGTCTTTGGGTTTGTGTTTGAACCATTTGTCTTCAACTTCTATGTTATAGTATTTGTAGATGTTATTTATAATGAAGCGTTGAACATACTTTGTTGTGTCTTTTTATGTATTCATATTTCGCAAGTACTGGACATCCTGTTGTTATGTGTTCGATAGTCTCATCATATTCTTTGCATAATCTGCACTTAGGGTCTATTTTTTGTCGGTGTATTCTATGCTTAATATAGTTTGTTGATATTGCTTGGTCTTGTGCTGCTACAATGATTGATTCTGTTTCCCCTTTTAGAGTTCCATTATGAAGCCATCTGAATGTCCTGTTCTGTGTTAGTTTCTTGTACTGGCCATGCATCTGCTTTTCTGTTCATTTTCCTTCCGCTGCTTTAGCCTTTTCGGGTTTCCTGTTATTTCTCTGTTTATGCACTTATCTTGGCTTCCTTTTCCTGAATATTGCTTGTTGATGTTGGTACATTATAATCTATCAATATCTGCTTTTGGATGGTGTAGGTTGTACATTGTTAGAAGTTTTCGTGTTTTTGTATCGGCTTTCATCAGTTCTTCTTCCTTCCAATCCAAAATTCCAAAACTGTAAGTCATTACGGGCAGCGCAAGTGCTACTATGCTGAGGAATTTATTTTTACCAGTTAGTTGACTTCTAAGGATCTTGCGCACTTAGAGATGGAAAATTCTCGAGAATAATAAAAAAGAGAATAGTCTCCAGAATATTCTCGAGAATTTTCTGAGAACGTCTTTTTAAACTAATATCAACTTCATTATAGCTATAGCCAATTATTACGCAGCATTATGACTATCAGGTTATAACGTCATCATATTTTTGCTAGTTTTCTAATGCATTAAGCGCTATTTGCACCGCTACAACTGGAGGGATATTTAATCTAAGTGGAGCTTTGAATGCGATTTTTTTTTCTACAAGTGTCACTTGTCACTTTAAGTTATAGCGGTGCAAATAGCCGTAAGTGAAATCCAAGATTGAAATCTAAAATTACGTCCTGACCATGTCAAGATTGTCATAATTTTTAATTTTCGACCCTTAAACAAGATAGGAAAATGTTTCTTTTCCTCCTGCTATGGGCGTATTCTTTTTTTTCTGATGAGGCGATGAGCAGTCTATCTTTGTCTAGAATGTAGGAATTTGAAATAACTGACTTATGTCATGAGGATATGATGAACACAAATTCGAATTCTATTCTGGTAACAAGCGAAGGTCTTGAAGCTTGACGTCATAATTTTGATTTTGAAAATGTGAATACAGAAGAGTTAAGACTCATGTCTGATTTGAAATCGCCTAAACTAAAACTATAGGGCCTCATTTCGACTTTTTGTATTTGCCAGTGAGAGGGACTTCCTTGCCAGTAATTTTGCAAAGAGCAGTTGGTAACACTGGTTATGTGTTACGTAAACGCAACGCGGTTAGGTGAGAGAATGTTACCGCGAGAATTTTCTAGAAGAGAATATTCTTGTTCTCGAGAATATTCTCTCAAGAATATTCTCTCCTCACATCTCTATGCGCACTCTAGAGTAATATTCCCCTGTCTCTTTTTGTTTCATGCTTTGATGGTCAATTTCTGTGTTTTCGTGTATACCTAAATATTTATAAAACTGTTTTCTCTCTAAGTGTCTTATTTCAGTTTCTTCGTCTATTTTCATGTTTTGAGTTTTTTTTCATATTTCCTTTTTCTTGAGTGACTTTCGCGCACTTGTCTATGCCAAAATTCATGCCAATATCCTTGCTGAAAATGTTTACGGTTTTGAATAGCTCTTCCAGTTCCTTGTCATCTTGTGAGTACAGTTTTAAATCATCAACATAGAATAAATGGTTTATGGACAGTTTTCCTTTTTGTATGTTATACCCTTTCTTGGTTCCGTTGAATTCATTTGACAGCGGAAACAGAGCCATACAGAACAAAAAAGGCGATAATGAATCTCCCTGAAAAATTCCACTTTTTATATGCTTCTATATTTTTTCCTTGAAAAGTAAGTGTGAGAAGTGTTCTCCACTTTTTCATTGCTGCTTTTGACATATTTTTTATTTGGGGATTTACTTTGTAGATGGAAAGTGTTTCTAACAGCCATGAGTGCGGTACACTGTCAAATGCTTTTTGATAGTCTACCCAGCCCATACTAAGATTTTTCTTTTTTCTTCTTGCATCTTCGGTTACCATTTTGTTTATTAGGAGTTGCTCTTTACTTCCATAGCAGTTTTTCCTACATCCTTTTTGTTCTATAGGAAACACATTATTTCGTTCTAGATGGTTGTATATCTTGTTACTTAGTATTGCCGTTAGGTTTTTGTAGATTGTTGATAAACAGGTTATGGGCCGATAGTTTTTTGCTCCTGTTGTGTTTTTATTTTTTGGGGGTAGCACTGTTCTTCCTTCAGTTAGCCAGTCTGGTATGAGTTGTGGGTTTTGAATGGGGTTGTTAAATTCTTGCGTCAGAAGTTTTGTATTCCGTCCAACCCCGGTGGCATTTTCAGTAACAGCAGACGCGCTAGACTTCCGGCGGCGAATCGGCTCCTTTCGGATTTTTAGTAACAGCCGACTCTTCGCGGTTGGTTCGACTTGAAACAGGCGATACAGCAGACGTACTACATCCTGAATTGTGTTTCACTGTTTTTACATGTTAGCTTATGCAAAAAGATGGATTTGTTACCAGATAATTATAATTATTAGGTATTTGATAATAAGACTATCGTTAGATGTAATTTAACATCAAAAACTGATGTTGAGGTGAAGTTTTCGTTTCAAACTGATCAGTTTTTTTTCTTGTATGAACACATTATCCCTTGATATGAAATTCATGCTTTATGAAATAGCGTGTGGAGACAAATAAAATCCGGAGATATTTCTCCCACTTCAAGGAGACTATACTTCAACCATAAGCCAGCCTACACCTACACAATTGTCCGGTATTGGTACTGCGTCCACTTCAATATATGAAGGTGGAGCAAGTGGAAGTTCCGCGTGTCCTATGAATGTCAATGTTCCGACGATAAAAGAAGTTAATTACTTAAAGGAAGAACGGAAATCATTTTCTGATGAAATCTTGAAACATATTCGTAATGATCCAATAGCCAGGGTTGCATAATAATTCTTTTAAGTACCATGGAACAGCTGCTAAATTTAAACGTCAAGGTATAAGAAAAGGTAAAATGATAGGTGTGCAGCCAACAAGTGCAGCTAGATGAAAATCTACTATGGGCGGCAAGAAACATTACTCAGCTAGTAGAAAGGTGAAAAGCTTGGTTAAAAAAGTCCAAAGCACCCCATTCTTTACAAGAATGTGTTGATATGAATATAGGCGTAGGTGAAAATAAGTTTAAAAAAATGATCTTTATTTTACGTATGGTATTATATTAGGTATATATTTTTATCTGTCTCCAACTGTTTTTGTAAATAAATAAATTAATTACTAAATCACAACTTTATATGTTTCTTCAGCATAAATACATTGAAATACAGTTTTTAACCACAGTGTTTTGAAATTAGCTGAAGATAAGAAACAGCAGACGTTCTAGACCTAGACCGTCTGCTATTACTGTCGTCGCCGAAAGCAATTCGGAAATTTAACGCGTCTGCTGTTACCCTGGATGAAATGCTTAGCTGGAACATCAATCTGAATAAAATAGAACAGAAAGCGATCTACCGCAGGAATTGTGACAAATCTTAGGAAATTAAACCAAAGTAAATTAGTGGTTATAACGTCCTACTGATACTCATATTATGAACGGCTGTACTTTTGGCTGGCTAAAATTATTTCTCCGATAATGGACAGTTTTAGGTGTTGCCATGCCGCTTGCGAATATTTTTCTATCATACTGAAATAAATAAACTGAAAACTAGTATTGGATCTAGAAGAAGAAGAAATCTCACACAATTTTATTGCTCTGGAAGGAAAAAGCTGGAGACAACTGTTACAGAAAGCAAATGACAACAAAGAGAAAATCATACCAATATTATTATTTCGACGTAAACACAGCAAGGCAAAGTTGCTAGTATCGGTATCTGTTAGAGGTCTTCAATCATTAGGACAATGATGATTCAACTGTTACTGATTTTTCTAAGGCGTTTGACAACAAATGATCGAGTTCTTACTAACTAAAATGTCATGCTGTGGGTTTTCATGGAAAAATGCTATTATGTAAGGGAAATTAATTTTCACAGCACACATTGAGGATAAAAAATTAATGATGCATTCTCAGGGAAAAATAGCATCTGGAGTACATTGTAGTATCTTCTGTAATTTTTTACTGCTTTCTGAACAAATTTTGTAATTTTCTGAATCATAAAATTTTACTTCATAGGGATGATTTGAAAGTCTTCTCTAAGGTATCCTTATATAAATTATTGTATTATGATTCAAAAAGACTTGGATCTGAAGTGGATTTGAAGTGAACATCGCCTATTTTGTAATATTTAAGATATATCTCTTTCGATTTGAACCCCCTTGTAGTGGAGGTAGAAATTTCTCAGATGGTTTCTTGCTCGTTTTTAATGACAATAAAAAGAAGACATTTCAAAGATATATAATTATAAAATTACCTCATCACAGAGCTTATTAGAATCACTTTTCTTTCGAGCAGTAAAGATGAAAATATCTTCAATAAAATATCAGTTGGAAGTTTGTGCAACTTTTCCAGATCCGCGTCTTCATATCTAGAGTCAGGATGCAACGTCAGAACCAGTTTTTTTGTTGTTGTACCTATAATAAAAAAACAAAACTTCATGTAATTTTCGTCTAAGAAAAAACTAACAGTACTTATTTAAAATCTTTTATATGGCTTCACAAGCCACATAGCTTAGTGCTGGGTAACTTTTTACAATATCGTTTTTGGACACAAAAATAGCTGTTTTCCTATTATTCATTCAAATTCTTTTTGTTTTCTTCACTAAAAAAATATTCCAAAATAACGGGGAAAGATTTATTGTAAATTAAGAGCAATGGTGACTGAAACTACCAAATTAGAATTTTTGTGGCCTGTTTTTGTTTATGATTTATTTTAATTGAAAAATATGAAGCAATATCTAGAACATACAACTAATAGGCTCTTTCAGTAAAATTTAATTAAGTATAAAATCTTAAATGGGGAACGAGCTTCTTAAATGAGTTTTTCACAGGCAGTTCAGAAGTGAAAAAATTTAAAATTCTTAAAACGCGCCAGACGATAACGTATAAGCGATATGAGCATCTTCTACCAATCAAATTTAAGAAGACTCTACCGACAAAGCACGAACAACTATTCAGGTGGCCGCTGGCTTGAAGTTTTGATTGCGCTGTTGACAGTTGGGACTAAATGAAGTGAGTCGTGAGAAAAAAAATTCAGTGTTAACAATGAGTGGCAACACTGTCAAAATTCACGTTGTAACGTAGGGCTAATAAATTCCGTGTTTTTATTTAGAGAGTTTTCTTTTTTTTTCTATTTTCCCAACAAGGACTCCAAGTTTTCCAACAGAAAGGGTCGAGAAAATTCTATTTTCAGTTGCTTTCCAATTATGCCAATTTCAGAAATTAGTGAAAGAGCCCATTAATTGACAATTAAACCCTGTAACAAAGAGCGACGGGATAAATTGATATTGTGTACGTTGACAGACTGGTTAATGAAAACTGAAAGATAACTAGACGTGCCTTTTTTTCTCTGGTGATTTTAGTTTTCATTCAGTTTACATGTAATAACAAAGGGAGCAATATTCTGCTGCTGTGCTATTAAAAATTTTATAGAGCTTGTTTCAAAGAAGACACATTTGATAGTATAATTCTGTAGATTTATAAATTTATAAATTGACCACTTTCAAAATGACTGGGCTCTCACCAATATGCCAATATCCAATAAAGATTTCTGAAATAATTTTTACCTTGTCTGTTTCTTGCCGGATCCACACTTTCTTCCATACCAATATTTTCGTAGCTATGATTCTCTACGGCCGATAAGTTGATACTGATACTCTCTCCAGGTTTCGGAAACGTTTTGTAGTAGAACTGGCTTATAAGTTCATCCCTACATTTATTTTGCATTCCGTGTCGGGACTCAAGTTCAATAAGTATACTTTTGTAAAACCTGGGTGACCTAGAAATACAAGAACAATACAATATGATACCTATACCAAGTTTTCATTGATATTTGTGCCAATATGAAGCCGATTATATTGCTGTCCTAATGGTAGAAGTACATTAACCATTTTATTATAATTTTATTCATTCATTTTAGAATACAATTTGGAAAATTTGGGAAACCTGGAAACTAGCTAATACAGGCAATGCATAATTACATAAACTACATAATGTAATCCTGAATAACTTTTCCAATGTTATGTATCACTACCTTGATGAGTTTGTGCCTGAATGAACCAATGGAAAGTTCTCCAAATTTTAGCCTCAAAAAACTACATTCTAAAATAATTTGAAATACAAAATTGAAGAAACAGGTTCTCCTGATCCCTAGCAATTTTTTTTTTTAGTATAAAAAAGGTTAATAAAAAGGTGTATTCAGCTAGTACGCAACACATTGCTCAATTGCAATATTGCAAATCTATTGATTGATATACTGGGTGACTTGGAGTAGTTTCCAAACGTGCCATGTTGTGGATTGTCAGTAAACATTGAGCGGCGGTCCAACGAGCAACGTCCCTTTATGTAAGAGGCGTTTTTGAAGGCAAACGATTCCTATGTAGCAACGTTTTTACAACCATTACAATATTTGGCGAGAATGTGATGCTCCTTCGAGAAATTTACTGAAGTCATGGGTTCAAAGATGCCAAACACTGTTCCAGTGGCAAATCAGGAGCCCTCAAGTCAACAGAAGTACATCAGACCGCCAACGACTGAAACGAAAGACTTAGGGAGGATTTTCATGCATCCGTTTTTCCGTCGAAATATGTCCGTTTGACATTCTATTTTGACATATTTATATACGATTATGTCAGAATAGAATGTTAAACGGACATATTTCGACGGAAAAACGGATGCATGAAAACCCTCCCTAACACTTCCATCCGTACAAAATTCAATTGTTGCAGTTTCTGAAGCCTGTAGACCACGCATGATGAATATGTTTTGGGATGAAGAAGGCTTGGACCACATTTTATTTAGTGACAAAGCTCACTTCCAACTGGAGGGCTATGTAAGTTAACAAGCAGAACTATCGATATTGCACTATATAATGACATTGTGGCAGCAAAATTTTGGCCCTTTTCGCACATGAAATTATAAGAAGCATGTTTTATCTTAGGTACCTACAACCCAACCTAAATGTCCGTACACAAAGAGTTATTATTAATCTTGTGTCCTGGGAGGTACAAATGATATGTAGTATACAGGGTGTCCCAGCCGAGAGTGACCCATTTTAAATGCTTATAACTTTTAAACCGGGTTTGCTAGCTACCTGCGGTTTGCGCCATTCGATTTCTCTTGGCCTAAAGTTTTTTTTAGTGGGTTGAAAATTTTTTTGAAACTTATACAGGGCGAATAAAAAAAAATCCGTTCTTCAACATCGAAATTCTCCACTATTTTTAATGGAACACCCTGTATATCACAACGTCAAAAAAAAAGATACATGTTCAAGGTATCCATATACCAATAAACATGGTCCCTAAAACTTGAAGTTTAAGCCGTAAAAAATCAAAATCGAAATCTTGGTATTTTTTTCAAAAGCACGTAACTTCATGTTGTAGGTACTTGATATCGCTATGGAAAACAATGTTGTAACTGTCTAGTTAGATATCAATTAAGTAAAAATACATTTTCCAAGAAAACTTAACGAGTTCCAGAGTCTCTGGAACTCGTCAAATAGAGATACCCCAACAGTAACAGTTTGGTGTGCAATCTCTATTAAGAAGAAATACAGACCATTTTCAATAATGAACCAACGACAACAGAAACTGTATACGCTGATATGTTCTTTTTTCCACAGTTAGGACAGAAGCGTATCTTGGATGATACCTTCAGCCGGATGGCGCCCCCGCCTCATTATTCTTTAATAGTAAGGGAATCACTAGATATGACATTTGGGGAAAGACGGATAAGGAGAGCTGGTCCTATAGAATAGACACCTTACTCTTCTGACTTGAGAATTCCAGACTTTTTTCTCTGGGGTTATGTCAAGGAAATATGCTGTTATCCTTTGGTCAAATAGCCTGGAAGATTTTAAACCGGACATTTGTAATGTCATTGTAGCCATCCCCAGGAAATGCTACACAATTCATTTAACCATTTACTGGTCTGCTTCAAAAAAAAGGTGCCATGCGTCCCGGTAGCAGCGACAAAATGGATATTGAGGATGGCGTAAAAATCTGAACGGTTTGAATAATTTGAAGAGTCACTAAACTTTAAATGGCAAATAATTGAAGAAACGAATAAGATGGTTGAAGATATACAGAAGGAAAACAAACAGCTGAAACGAGAAAATGAAACTGTACAAAAAAAGTGAAGGAGCTTGAGACTAAAGTTGAACTTTTGGTCTACAAACAAGAAAAATAGCAATTGCAAACAAAGAAAAAGAACATAATCATTTCCGGACCACTGGTCACGAAAGAAAATATCTGTGGAACAGTAAAAAAGGTGGTTCAATCTATCCATGTATCGCTTCAAGTGGATTCACAGGGCTATGTTCGAAAAGCAGAAAATTCGAATGATATTATATATTATAGAGTTTTTCGCAGAACCCAGAAATTTCATAATATTTAGGGTGATCTATTTGAAAAAACAAAGTTTCTGATATTTCCCGAAAAACGAAAGATCTGACAACCATGTAAATACTACCATATTATCGGACATATTACAATACTTTCCCAAACCAAAATTCATAAAAATCGTGCAATTCGTTTTCGAGATAATTGAGCCGTTCCATACTTAAAACTCACTCTGTATAAAAATAAGGATAACTTTTTGGTCTACCCTGAAGCATATAGAAATCCTTTTGATTCAATAGTTATGTCTGAAACCTACCCAATTCATGATGTAAGTGGTTCTTAAATACCTTGTTACGAACTCCTTTTTAATGGAAGTTGCAACAATAGATGTGATGCGTGTTTGTTATAATATGTTAAATCTAATATTTTATTGAACTAGAGTTTGCATAAAATAGATAACTGTTTTTTGAAAGTTTTTGTGGAAAAAAATTGTAGGAAGTTTCAGGTAAATTTCTAGAAAAGCTAAGCTATGAAAAATTGAGAAGGCAGCTTGAGCAGGAGCAGTGGAATGACATTTTTGAGATAATGGATGTGGACCAGTGTGCCAAGTCTTTTGTGGAAAATTAAGAACAAAAAAATTAACCTCTCATTAGAAAATTTTCGTATCAAACCTTGGATATCGGCTGGACTGCTAGTGTTCATAAGAAAAAGAGATAAATTGAAAAAAAAATATATGCTCAAAACCCTACTGATGTTGTTGCCCATAATAACTACTTCAAGCATAGAGATATGCTCTCTAAATTAATAAAATCTTCCAAAATAAATTATTTCAGGCAACTTATAGGCAAGTGTCAGGGTGATCCGCAAAAAACTTGGAAGACTATCAAAAACATAAAAGGGCAAAATAGAACTAATTTGCAAATAAAAAACATAAAAACACAGGACGGACAGCTGATATACAATGCTAGAAATATGACATGTGAGTTTAATAGGTTTTTTGGTACAAGTGGAAAGAAACAGGCAAAAAAATATCTTCTGCGCCCAGGCAGTGTCGTAAGCCTTGGAGAAAACCATCTTTTTATGAATTCGAACCAATCACAAGGAATGAAATGATTTTACTAATAAATTCGCTAAAATCCACAGCATCTGGCAATGATGGCATTACTCCTATAATTTTAAAAATGTTTCATCAGTATCTCCTGCAACCACTGTAACATATTACAAATTTAATCATAAATAAACGTATTTTTCCAGCTGCCTTTAAAGAAACTACAATCATTCCTATTAATAAAGCTGGTGAAAGGATTCCTATGACTAACTACAGACCTATATTCATAGCAAGCACCATATCGAAGTTAATTGAAAAATTTATAGAATCAAGACTTATCTCTTTTCTGCAAAAACATAAAATAATTTCTCTTCAACAGTATGGGTTTCAGGATGGTGTTGGGACGGAGAACACACTGTGTCAGGCAACAGACCAAATTGTGAATGATTTAGACAAAAACCTAAAAACAATAGGAATATTTTTGGACTTGACCAAGGCATTTGACACATCAGATAATGCTGGAACGACTTGATTATGTTGGTATAGCAGGAAAATATTCACAGCTATTTAAATATTTCCTCAGTGAAAGGCCTCAGAAAGTGAGAATAAAGAACGAACCGATTGATGCATTTACGGCGGAGTTTGGTGTGCCACAGGGAACGGTCCTAAGTCCTGTCCTTTTTACCATCTACATGAATGAAATAACTAAAATAACAAACCATGCAAAAGTTATCTGCTTTGCTATCACACGGTTCTGCCACCTGGAATGATACATATACAAAGGCTGAAAAAGCTATTGATGTTAAGCAGTGGTTGGATATAGGTTTATTAGCCCTAAATACAGAAAAGGCAAATTTTGTCACATTCGCTAAGACTGCGGCGACTCAGCCAACCCAAGAATGCCTAACAATCCATGGGGTGGGATGTGCTTTGACAAGAGAATGTAACTATCCAACTAAACTCAAAAAGAAATATTGTGTAAGGTATTTAGGAGTTTTTATTGATCAATGTTTAAAATATGAGAAACATATTGAATATGTAACGAGTAAGCTAAGAAAGCTCCTGTATAAATTCTTATAACTTAGGCAAATCCTGAAGCGAAAAACTATTAAAATGGTGCATCATTCTCTTGTTGAATCTGTCCTAGGATATGGATGGATTGCATGGGGCCTTGCATCTAAAAAGCTCTCAAACCAGTTGATGTGATACAAAAAACCATAATAAAAATAATTTTATCTAAAGATATTATTCCTCCAGTACCCTATTAAGTGATGCTAAACTTTTTTCCTTACCATTGCTCACTGTCAAAATTTTGGCTCGATTTATGGTCAAATATGATACCTTTAGAACCTACAAAAGTACATATGTTGCCACAAGGAATGCGGATGAACTTATTATACCTAGAATGCACTATACTAAAACTCAAAAACATGTTGCATTTGTCGGTCCCAAGATCTATAACGTCCTTCCAAATGAAGTCAAAAATAAATGTTATAACAAATCCAAAAAGAAAATAGACTCCTGTATCTGAGAATAAGTTAATACTTATTCCGCTATTGAATTAGGTAATGATAATGATTTTTTACATTGTAACTTCACTTAGAATAACGTATTATTATTTATTTTTGTTTCTTATAATAATCTCAAGCCAATAATATACATATATAGTTTTTCTTAGAGCATACACACACAAACCAAACCTTTTAGTTCATTTGTATGCTCACAACACATTGTTATGAATTATTGTAAATTTATATATTGTTGATTTGAAGTAAATAGAATAAAAAAATAATAATTACTTACCTATATTTACTTAAAATACAATATGTTAATGGCAAACAATGAGTACTACCCTCTGGTAGTACTCTCCTGCAGTATCCATAAGTCCGATCCCCTGTTTGATTCGTTATGAGCAGGGTGTATGTTTGAGCTGCGCTACTGCCTTCTAGAGGAGGACTGTCTGGACTTTCGGGAAAGCATAACTTTTGTATATCTGGGTGAACATCAGCCTAAAGTCATTTTATACAATATGAATTGAAAGAGAAGGTTAAAACCTATTTTCTTGGTCTCTTACTCTAAAGCTAATGATAAAGATTATTTTATTTTATTTATTTTCTTAACATACATATCTACCATAAAGCTGAGCAGCACCTGTCTTTTTGCAGATGATATCAAAATATATTAAGATGCCTGTATTGATCATTGAATATCTAGCAGAAACAGAAATTTGGACATTTCTTATACAGTGTCCCCCATAATGTTCGCTACATATGGGATTTTTTCTATTTGTAGGATATGGAATTTTTTCTTGTGGGATCGATCCTGCATGTTGGATAACCTGAAAGTACATTTTGACATTGGTTCCGTGATCACTGTTGTGGCAGCACATTTGAAAATTTAGATATAGAAACGCGAAAAGTGGGGTTAGATGGCAAAATTTCGGAAAAAGTTATTTGAAAAAAGTGATTAGAATTATGTTTTAGGGCTGTATGCGAAATTTGGAGGAAAAGCAACACAAATCAGGAAATTACTTGTTTTTCACCATGGATTTCTTATCAAATAATATTATACAGTTTTTATTATTGAAATAGTCCAAGTACCTTAATATTTAATGTGTATTGGTAAAACAAACTTAAATTCTTCATTGGAATGATTCCTAGCGGATGAAATAAAAATATTCGACTAGCACATCAAACTTTTCTGTAGCAATACCCCTGTATCTTGACAATTTGTGAGATTTCCAATAATTTAATATCGATACAATTGAAAAGAACCATTATTGAGATTAAAAAAAAAATACCTATTTCAATACAGTTCTAAAACACATTGCTCAACTGTCAAGATACAGAGTATTGCTGATAATAAAAACTGTATAATATTATTTGATAAGAGATCCATGGCGAAAAACAAGTAATTTCCTGTTTTTTGTTGCTTTTTCCCCAAATTTCGCAGACGGCCCTAAAACATCATTCTAATCACTTTTTTCAAATGACTTTTTTCGAAATTTTGCTATCTAACCCCACTTTTCGCGTTTCCATAACTAAATTTCCGAATTTGTCGCCACAACAGTGATCACCTGACCAATTTCAAAATGTACTTTTAGGTTATCGAACAGGCTGGATCGATCGCACATAAGAAAAAATTCCATGTCCTAGAAATAAAAATTTTTCCCATATGTAGCGAACATTATGGGAAGACTGTGAAACTCAATGCCTTCAAGTGCGGTTTGGAGAATTTTTTTTTTAACAAATCACAATCCATAAGTATTTGCCAAGCAGGTTACATACTTACATGCGGTGGAAATTTTAACTTGATCTGCGCACAATCCTGAACTTTTTCAATGAGGAGGCAACAGTAAAACAAAGTTTCGGTATCAATTTTAGGTTGCTGGTATTTGTGAGCTGTTTTCTGATACGTGTTGAACCTGTCGACCATACTGGCCACTTTTCCTTCTTCATTTTTCTCAGAATCTGAGTCGTCGCGCGGAGTTGTTGGTACTGGTACAGCTTCACTTTTGAAGCTTTGATCTATGCACAAAATAATAAATTTTTACAAAATCATTCCAAAAAGTTTATGTTACCCTACATACCTATGAATTTGTCCCTAGTAAAGATCTTATAGAGAAATAAAAAACAAGTAGGCAGATAAATTGCTAGTAACAAATGTTGAAGATTAATTCGTCTTACCTATTGTTCTTATTAACGAATTCCTCAACAGCTCTACCCTCTTGTTGCAGTCTACAGATTCAGCGCACCTGTCATGATCTCCAGATGGTCTCTCAGCATTGGGTAACATTTGCCTTCTAGCTTCAAAATGTTCGATTAAATAACGAATTTTTACATCTGATGGTAATGAAGAAAGAGAAGCACTTTCTGATGACAACTAGAATAAAAAAAATTGGTCTTAGTATATTTTTCAACAAATGCATACAAAAAGTATTGAAGCAATTCCGAAGCCAATTTAAATGGCCGCAATACGATCTCCTAGTTACAACCACATACATCTGCACATACCCAAACCCTATTTCCACAGTTAAAACCAAAATTTGATGGTATTTAAGGAGTGTTCCCTTAATTGAACATGTTACGGTATTCTGTTATACCTAATTATCATTTCCCAGCGGTATATGGTATATTGAATGAAGCGAAAACGTACTGATAGTTCATGTTGACAGAGGAATAAGAAAATGTAAAAGTAGAATCGATAACAGTAACAACAGCCGATTTCGAATGGTGAAGGTACATCCATCCCGCGTCTTCGTTGTGGAGCTAAACAAAACTAATCGGAATTCATAAAAGTGACAGCTGTAGGATGGACCTTAAAAACATGGCATTTTAATAAAGTATTTTTCTAACTTCGCTTTTTACTGTTATTTCTAGTTTTATACATCAGTGTAGCTAAAACGGAATAAAGCAAATATTCCCAAAACGGCTGAATATTTGTTTTTCAATGTTGGAGTGCTACTAAAGCAAAACATTTCCGATCTTATATGGAGAGATGAACTCGTTTCTTCATATAGGTTGACCCCACAAACAATATCAGCCATTAATTTAAACCTCATGAAACATCCCTTATTGTGAACTTATGATATAACATCTATTGGGTTTACCTGCCAAATTTACTGGCCCATTTACTCGACTAGAGGCAATTTCATGTAACATTTCTGAGCATTTCTCTGTTGCCGTTTCCGTGGCAATAGATTCGCGTTCATACATTTCCCTTTTCTGTAACTTTTTCCCTAGCCAGGAAGCTTTGAAGATACTTTTGCTTTTTGGTTGCTGTTATTTCAGGTATGCATAGGATGGTTCTCCACCCCGAGCGTCGAGAAACACTCGGTTGTTGAGGACTTTTCACCAAAATCGCATTTGGCATTCTCAGCTGTATAATTTATAGGCTTTATAAAATCATACTTATCTCATCACTAGATCAAAGCTGAACAGAACCTAGAAATCTTTGCACTCGACGAACGGAATGGGTTCTGTGAACTTAGAATCTGAAGCAGTTATACTTAGGCAGTTTTACACTAGAAACGAATTTGACAGTAACGCAGTACTTTATACGAGTTTCGTAATATGCAACTAGTGTTGGATGGGCAGAATGTATTACTTCTGGTCAGGGAATGATGTGCGACAACTACAATTTGTCACAATAAATGATTCAAGTGTCTCGAAGATAAAGTGCTGCACATTAGTCGTTTTCTATAATCCTCGCAAAAATAAATAAGTAATTGTATTATCAACCCATGCTTTTGTTTTTATACAGGGTGTCCCAAAAAGATACCGACAAACTTTAAGGGGTAATAGGGGACATCAAAACAAGCAATTTTGTTTATATAAACATATGTCCGCAAATGAGCCATTTGGGCTGTAGAGCCAAAAAAAACTGTTTGGTACTTTTATTCTTCGCAACTCACTGTTTACTTATTAATTTTGCTTTATTAACAAATAAGTTATGGTTTACAATAATTGTTCAAAATGTTGACCATTTACTTCAATGCAAAGATTGCACCGTCGGGTCATTGACTGAAAAGTTTAGTCTACGAAACAGCTGTTAGTAATGACGAAAATCTGTTAGCAAGGATACTGGCGAGTTGTACCCAGGTAGAAGCTATTTCCAGAATATTCCGATGACCCGACGGTGCAATCTTTACATTGAAGTAAATGGTCAACATTTTGAACAATTATTTATTTGTCAATAAAGCAAAATTAATGAGTAAACAGTGATTTAATTATTGCAAAGAATAAAAGTACCGAACAGTTTTTTTGATCTACAGCCCAAATGGCTCATTTGCGGACATATGTTTATATAAACAAAAATGCTTGTTTTAATGTCCCCTACTACCCCTTAAAGTTTGTCGGTATCTTTTTGGGACACCCTGTATATACAGTGTGTCCACTTAAGTTCGCAGCATACGAGAAACTTTTTTATTATCAATTTTACGAAAAAAGTTATTTTTCATAAAAGTTTCTGCTTCTTGAAAAAATAATTTTAAACTATCAAAACTTGAAATAGCATGTACAGGGTGGTCAGAAAATAGAAAAATATACAGGGTGTTTCCTAAGTACGGTTCGTACCTTCAGGATGTGATTCCTCACAATATTTCAAGAAAAAAAGTTCCCATAAACATGTGTTCGGATATGCGTAATTTCTGAGATACAGGGTGTCAAAGTTTAGGAAAAAAAAATGTTTTTTTATTTATAGCTCAAAAACCCCTTTCTCGATTTTCGATAAACTGACAGATTTTTTTGTAATAACAAAAGATATATTTTGACTCAATAAGATTTACCCATATTATGCCAGTGGCGCCCCAGAGGGCAATTTCGTTGGTAAAAGTGGAAAAAAAATGGCACGTCACTGATTTTTTATAACTTTAATCGTTTTTTTAGATTAAGCAGGTCATATTACAGTCAAAAGATACCTGCCAAGTTTATCGAAAATCGAGAAAGGGGTTTTTGAGCTATAAATAAAAAAACGATTTTTTTTAACTTTGACACCCTGTATCTCAGAAATTACGCATTTCCGGACACAGTTTATGGGAACTTTTTTTCTTAAAATATTGTAAGGAATCATCACATTCTGAAGTTACGAACCGTTCTTGGGACCCTGTATATTTTTATATTTTCTGACCACCCTGTACATGCTATTTCAAGATTAGTTAAATATAATTTTTCCAAGAAGCAGAAACTTTTATGAATAATAACTTTTTTTCGTGAAATTGATAATAAAAAAGTTTCCCTTATTCTGCGAACTCAAGTGGAAATACTGTACCTACAGGGTGTCCCACTAAGGTCGAAGAGGTACGATATTATGGAAACCAGTTATTTGCATAACTTGAGAACGAATGCAGTTATTGAATTGCGGTTTGCGTCAAAATGTAGATATATTTTTCCTCTTCAAGCACAGCAATAAAAAACGACTCCGACGAAGTAGTGTTCTTAACAACAGTGAAATTCTCTTTTAAATGAGCCCAAATTGAATGAGTTTGGATGAGAAGTATGGAAGATACAGCAATTTTTAAAACTATTTTTTCACCAGCTTCTCCCACCCTGATTAGTGAAGATACGAAAAAAGCCTAATAACCAAACTGGCGTAAAGATTAATGAACTTTTGATTTCTTTTGTTAGACCAATATTGTAACCATTAAGACACCAAAGCGACCTCTACCTCAGTAGAAAACACCCAATGAGACCGGTTCATGACCAGTCGAGAAAAAGGTGTTAAAAGAATTGTCATAGAAAGCGTCAGCGTTGTCAACACGTATTTTCTACTTCAGAAATCTTTATTGCTATATTTTTGCCTTTTGTTCAATTAGTACAGTAGTATTTGAAATAAATATTCGGGAATTTAGTTAATCAACGTGTACCGTATTACATTTTTTCCCAGTGCACTCCTGATCAAAACACCCCAGTTAAAGTGGCGCCCAACGTGGGGCAAGTTAAAAAGCAAGTTTATTTTGACTGTAATCTTGTTGACTAGATAGATTTGTGAAGTTTTAATGTGAGTTTTTCGATTGTGGTCATAATCCATCTCCCAGCTTCACCAAGGACACCAATTTCATGCACTTACGTTCAGGTCGGATGTCGAAAAGCACTGAATCTAATGAAATAGAAAATAACGAAGACAATCATGATAATGACGTTATTCAACAAGTAGTAATGTCGCCAGAAATGTTACAAACTCTTATACAGAGCCTTACTATAAATCAAAATGCCAATTTAAATAATTCAGAGCGAGGTAATTTTGCCAAATGCACAGCTCGTTTTGATGGTTCATATAGCAGTGATGTGAATACGTTTATTGATACCATCCTTATTTATAAAGACTGTGTGAATGTTTCTGGAAATAATGCTCTCAAGGGTTTTCCTATGCTTCCAGAAGATCAAGCTGCAATATGGTGGCAAGAAGTGAAATCCAGTGTTGTTACATTTGATGATGATATATGTGCATTGCGAAATGCTTTTGGACAAAAAAAAAATTCCATATCAACTATATCGTGAGTTATTTTCTAAAGAACAAGGTAATCAAGAGAAAACTGAAATTTTTGTAAGCCGATGTCGAGCCATTTTCTCCAAATTTCCAATTAATCACCAGGTTTCTGCAACTTGTCAAGTAGATATGGTTTATGGTCTATTGAACTACAATATTAGAGAGAGTTCTTCGAGAGAATGCTGATAATTTCAACGAGCTTATTCAAAACGCACGAACTGCAGAAATCACTCTACTGGAAAAGAAAACTCACGATTCTGTTAAATCGAGCCCCCACAAAGAAGCTAAAACAGAAGGGAAGAAGTCTTCATTGAAATGTGTTTATTGCAAAAATTATGGCCACATCATAGAAGATTGTAGAAAATGTTTCTACGGCAATTTCTTGCTACGGTTGTGGTAAACAAGGTTAAATCAAAAGCAACTGTCCAAATTGTCGAAAATCAGGTTTTTCTAGTAATACTTCATCAGGCCAAACGTCCACTACAAGTGCCAAAGCTGCGGAATTCTTCTATCATTCTTCAGATGTTGATTCTCAAATTAAACCTATGGTTTCAGTCAATATTCTTGGTCATACTGGTCTTGCCTGTTTGGATACAGGAGCAGAGCGTAGCCTAGCTGGTGCTGCGCTTATGAAACTTCTCTTGAAAGAAAACGCTCCTTATATTCAACAACAATTGTTGATTAAACTTGCAGATGGCATAGAGAGGACTGTAACTTCTCTGGTTTTTAATGTTGAAATCATTCTGAATGATAAAATTATTTCAACATCACTTGTTGCCATTCCAGAACATATCAATAGTAGGACTTTACTTGGTTTGGACTTCATTGAACTTGCCAATATTGTGATGGACATTCCTCAAGAACAATGGTATTATGCTGAAACTCCACAATTTTCGTATTTATTTGAATATGAGACCAATTATGTAATAACTACTGCGGAATCTACTCCAATGTTTTCTGTACAACGGAATACATCACAATCACAATTGAGAGAAAATGAAAAAGCCAACCGGAAAAGCAACAAATTGAATTCTTACTGCACCAATATGCTGAATTATTCACATCCGGTACTGAGCCAACACCATATGCAGAACATACAGTAAAACTGACTGATGATATTCCAATTTCTGAACCACCTTATGTCTGAAGAAAACAAAAACATATTGAGGGCAGAACTGGATAAGCTCCTGAAAGATGGAATCATAGAAGGCGAATCCCCGTATGCTGCTCTAATTGTTCTAGTACCTAAACCTGATGGTAGTATTCGCCTTTGTGTCAATTATCAACGCGTAAATGAGAAAACACTGAAAACAGTTTCCGATAAATACCCACTTCCTAGGATTGATGATCTATTACACACTGCAAAACAAACAAAGTATATGACCACTCTTGATTTAAAATCAGGATACCATCAAGTCTCTGTCCGCGGATCTGATCGAGATAATACAACATTTATTTACCCGTTTAGCTCCACGGAATTTTCCGTTATACGAGGATGCCATTTGGAATGAACAATGCACCCTCCACCTTCCAAAGACTCCGGACATCCGGACTCCAAGATTTGACCATATTAGCTTATATAGACGATTTTATTGTATTATCCAGAACTTACTAAGAACACCTTTCTGATTTACAACGAGTTTTCGACCGACTTGTAGCTTTTAAGCTTCACCTCAATCGATCCAAAGGCCATTTCATGTGCACCTCTATGAAGTACTTGGGACACGTAATTACACCCCAAGGAATTAACCAGATCCTTCTAAAATCACCGCTATTCTGGAGAGACCACCTACCAAAAATGTGAAAGAGCTTTTGTCCTTTGTCCAAACATGCTCTTGGTTCCGGCGATTCATTTCTTCATTTGCAGAAGTATCAAAGCCCTTAACCTCCTTAACCAAGAAGAAAGTTATTTGGAAATGGGAGAAGAAAGAACAATATTCTTTCGACCTCATGGAACAACTTTTGACTACTAATCCCATACTCCGACAGGCTGATAGTACATTGCCTTATATACTCCGAACTGATGCTAGTTCGTACGCTTTAAGGGCAGTTTTACTCCAAGGGGAGAAGGTCGATGAAAGAGCTGTTGAATATGCAAGCCGACTACTCACACCTGCTGAGATGAACTATCACACTACAGAAAGAGAAGCTCTAGCAGTTGTGTGGGCTGTGGAGAAATTTAGAGGCAACCTGGATGGAGCTAAATTCATTATCCAGACTGACCACCAGCCATTGAAGTGGTTAATGTCTTTGAAATCACCTAGTGGCCGATTAGCTCGATGGGCTTTGTCTTTACAGGCTTATAACATGAGAATTGAATATACACCTGGAAAGGTAAATGTAGTGGCTGATACTTTATCCCGGCCACCACTAGAAACGTCTCAGACAGAGGTAAATGTAGTTATTGTTGATTTGCCCAGAAAAAAAAGAAGACATTAGAAGGAAACAGTTAGAAGATCCGGATGTATTAAAAATAATTTCTTGTTTCGAATCACCGGATCCTGAATCAGTGGAATTTAAGACATGGACTGACCGCGGTTACATTATGACCGAAGGAACCTTGTATCGCTATGATCCTGAGAGTGAGATCCAAGAAGAAATACAATTAGTTGTACCGAGAAGCATGATTCCTGAAATTCTAGAAGAATACCACGATTCCCCCTTAGCTGGTCATTATGGTATTGATAAAACCACACAAAGAATACGTTCCAGATACTATTGGCCAGGAATGAGAAAAAGCGTTGCCGAACATGTGTCCAGCTGTATTGAATGTCAGAGATATGAAGTGAGAAATCTTAAACCTGCTGGTTCAATACAAACACCTGCAATGGCCAAGCGATTTGAAGTAATATCTATAGATCTCTTTGGACCTCTTCCTAAAACCGATACTGGTGAAAAATGGACTTTTATAATCGAAGACACTGCCAGCAGATGGATAGAAATATTTCCGCTCGCAAATGCTGCTGCCAAAGCTTGTGCGCAAACTCTTGTTGATGAGGTGATACTCAGATATGGAGTTCGCCGAAGGGTTACCAGCGACAATGGAGTGCAATTTGTTAGTGAAACTATGCAGTATGTAGCACATTGTCTTGGTTTTCATCAGCACTTAATACCTGTGTATCATGCCGAGTCTAATCCTGTGGAACAAAAAAACCGTGACTTGAAAATCCAACTATCAATTCTAGTAGGAGGCTGTCACGCTCAATGGAAGAATAACTACCCTCCGTGCGTTTGCCATGAACACCTCAAGATGTGATAGTACTGGATATACCCCAGCCTATTTAACATTTGGACGAGAGCTCCGCACACCCGATGATGTACAAAGGGACATGAGAGCTATCACTGAAAGTGAAAATTTCATTCCTCAAGTTACCCCTTATTTGATAAATATTGCTAGAACCTTGAGAGAAGCAAGAGAACTCCATAAAAAGTCCCAAGATAAATCAAAACATTATGCTGATCACAGGAGAAGAACTATTCCCCATTACAAAGAGGGAGATCGAGTGATGGTGGATACATTCCCAATTATCAAAGCCAAAGATGCGTATACTTCAAAATTTGCTCCACGACGTGATGGTCCATATGAAGTTACTAAGGTTGTCACTCCAAAAGCAATTGAAGTTGAAACTATAGAGCCAGCTGAAGGTCCCACCATCAAATTACATACGTCAGCTATGGCACCTTATGTGGGAAAAGGAGAAGTTCCAACACCAGTACGACCTATACGTCCACGTGGAAGACCCATGAGCCTCATTGAAAGCGATAATATACCCGAAGGTGACGAAGCCATTCCTCAGAAAAACACAGATGTACTGCATGCTGATGACAATGAGAGTTATAACGAAAAAAAATAAAATAAAATGAAAATGACGATGAGCCCAGATTAGATGGACGACCCAGACGCCGCATTAAAGCTCCAACTTGTTTATGTGGCGATCATACATCAAAAATTGACTTGGAGTATCCCCGAGGACGTAGGGAAACTCCAAAAGGGGAGATTGTAACCATTAAGACACCAAAGCACCCTGTCGGTAGAAAACACCCAATGACACTGGTCCATGACCAGTCAAGAAAAAGGTGTGAAAGGAATTGTCATAGAAAGCGTCAGCGTTGTCAACACGTATTTTCTACTTCAGAAATCTTTATTGCTATATTTTTGCCTTCTGTTCAATTAGTACAGTATTTGAAATAAATATTCGGGAATTTAGTTAATCAACGTGTACCGTATTGCATTTTTTCCCAGTACACTCCTGATCAAAACACCCTAGTTAAAGTATCTTAATATGTATAGCGATTTCTTGAGAAAATTTGAATTTTTAGTTATATCATCGTAATTGCGCCCCCTAGCGGTCATCTTAGAAACTTGAAAATAATTTCTATCAATTTCTCTTGGCCGATTTAGTCAAGAAAAAAAAAATCCCGAAGCCGTAAGGTCTATGGTTTCCATAATATCGTACCTTGCCGACCATAGTGGGACACCCTGTATATACAGTAATCTTCGGTCTGCCCCTTTTTCTCCTTTCTAAAGGAGTCAATCTTAGGATTTGTTTAGAGAGTCGCTCTTCGCCCATTCTCTCTATGGTGATTCACCCGGGTTATATAGATTTTTTTTTCCTTTATTTGGAGATATGGGTTGACCACAGTATTGAGTTGAGACATCCTATAACTTTTTTGCCTTTCACTATTTGGTCTCCTATTTCCCTTTCTGTTCGCCCACTTTTATCTATCATGGTTCCTAGGTATTATATTTTTCGCATGACGCTACGATGTTCGTATGTGCTTCTCCGCTCACACAAATGTATCTGGTCTTGTTACAATTTACTGTCAGTCCTCATTCCGAATATTGTTTAAATAGCCGTCTTGTCATAAATTCTAGATCTTCCTTGTCTTGCGCCACTGCTAACTGATCGTCTGCGAAATGAACAGTGTACAGATTTGAGATATTCGGGAGTTCTTCCCATTCCGCTACAAGCGTTTCTCCACTTCCTCAGAGCTTCATTGATTTATATTTTGAATAGAGTAGGGAAAAGACAGCCTTGTCGTAGGCCCTTCCCTACTTGAAAGTTTTACGACAGGTTATTTCATATCTTTATTCGAGATTTGGCTTGATCGTAGCGTTGTTTAATGGTTGTTATTGCCGTATTATTGATTGGTGACTCTTCTAGTACTTGCCACAGTTTTTGGATGGGGACCGCATCGTGTGCCTTTGTTAGATCCACAAACCAAATTTTTTTAAAACTATCCTATTTTCTCGATTATAAGATTATATAAGACAGAATATAATAAAAAATTAAAAACAAGAAAAAGTGTTAAACTGTTAAGTTATTTTAGTAATATTTCATATTCTGTCATCAACATATTTACTCCGTGATAATATTCGTATTTATTGCTTTTCAAAAACGTTTCTTCTTGGATGATTCTCCTTTATCTAATAACTATAATGTTTGGGAGGATTTTTTCGAGGACGCTGAGATAATAGGCCCGGCTACAGTACGAATTCGCCATCCTAGGTAGCTATATACCTTTAAACAAAAAATAATAATTTCGCTTTATTGCTGACATATTATTAACCGGAATGGAAAGGTCATAATTGCGAGGTCTTTCGGGCGATGTTATCAGGTTAGAGATTACCAGCCGTTATCTTAAAAGTTAAGTACTCTTGATTATATGTAATATTTCTTAACACAAATAAATATTCTTTGCAAAGCCGACGATTTTGTGAAAATTGCGACCTTAATACATAAGACACCATACACACTGTAATCTAAATTCAATTATGGGTGAAATTTCAGATTTCAGTTTAATCTTAATTTTATGATATCATTAGACGTTTAAATACTGGCATCGTCAAACACAAACAGCATTTCTTCGCGATTAGTATTGAAATGAAGCTGTTCTTTTTACTTGTGTGTTTATTCATAGAAAGGTGAGAACATACAAACTTCCAACCAATTCAATGTTATTTTGTACATTTAAGTAGAATTATAAATATTAAGCAACATGTGATCAAAAGTTTCTAGATTGCCCAAAAAGTCGAATGATGTTCTGTCTCTCCATTTATACAAATCAAAATTTCTTTGCTATTAGAAATATAACCACAGAAAGTGAGCATTGGTGGCCTACTAGCTCTGGCTCAAAATAGAGCACAGTGAAATCCAGGTTCAATTCAGAAACGCAGCAAACCATAAATGTATCTACACAGTACAATTTTAATCACTTAACTCATTTGTTCAATGCAGGAACCAATCGATTGTCAAGTTCAAAATGGAAGCTCTAGCATTTTTTCGCAAGAACGTGTCTAGTGGTTTGGCCACCTAATTTCATTAAGAAAAAAAAATCTATTTTTTCTGATGGAGAGAAAATAAAAATGAAGTGAGAAGAATTATTTTAATTAAGTGCTAGTAAATTCTGTTTAACATCAATATAAACATTCTGGGAGGAAGTTTCCATTGAAGTTTCATACCCAAGATAAGCCAGGTAGTATAATTTCTGTTGGTTTTGTCCATCTGAACTACTTTGCTTGACGCCTTATTTGTCTATAACTACTTCAATATACAGGTGTCGTCCCTATGTTATTATACATATATTTCTACTATTTAAAGTATTCCCATAGAATAACTTCCAAGCAATGAGCCTGTTGAAAATCAAGAGCTATTTACTTATTCATTTATGCATAGGTTTGAAAAGTTAAGCCTTTTTTGCAATGGAAAATTTACATAGAAAATACGTCCATACAAGCGAAATTTAGGGTGAATTTTCTCAAATGTTCCAGAGGGACTCCGTTATGCCAAAAGTGCTTTCCTTCTGATTTCTTATGGGGAACTGCAACATCCTCTTATCAAATAGAGGGGGCCTGGAACATCAGCGATAAGGGAGAGAACATTTGGGATTGGTTTGTTCATACCTACCCAGAGAACATCACCAACCAAGGAAATGGAGACATTGCATCTGATTTCTACCATCACTATGAAGAAGATATAGATTTAATGGCTAATTTGAGTGCACAAGTTTATAGAATGTCTTTGTCCTGGGCCCGGATATTACCAAATGGCAAACGAGATTATATCAGTGAAGAGGGGGTCAACTTTTACAAGACTATTTTTGAGGTAAGGCTTTTCTTGAGGTGCTTGCTTTTGATTGTATCATTTTGTGGTGAGAGCGGCCAGCTTTTATCTAACACGATCTTATTTGATCAAAGTTTACAGATAAATTTAAGTTATAAAAATAATTGCTTTGCAGTGTAAATTTAAAAAGCCATACTTCCGAGAGAGACAACGCTTCTTGTCTCGTCTCGTTTTTACACATCTCTCGTCAGTTGTAAGATGTTGCATAATACAGGTACACAATTTCGTGTCTCAGATCAGGCCCTAATAGCTAGTAAATTCTGTTCAGAACATGTATTCTTGCCTTTTCCCAAAAATAGAATAAAAATAAAAAGGTGATTTTACATAATTCATACACAGAAATCTGAAAAATATTGAAATTCTTGTTTGGAAATTACTTTTCAATATCAACCCGTTGGTATGAAAAGAACAAGACATCAAATCATGTAGTTGTTGCCAAAACTCTTTTGTAATTATTAGAAGCAGCCAAGTGCATCAAAAAGTTACCATTTTCGAAAAATGGTACCAAAATTTTCTAAATTGAAGTGCGAGTTACGACTTTTTAAAAGAGACAAATACAATGGTTTTAGTCTGGCATAAATTTATTTATTTACTCCTGGATCCACCATCAAATGAAAGAAAGCACCTAGGGATAGCAGAAATAATTAAATATTTTATCGTAGAAACTAAGGTCGAAAAACATAGAGCCAGTAGTAACAATTTATCACTGGGAATTGCCCATGACAATGCATGAACTAGGGGGTTGGGTGAATCCAGAAATGGCGGACTACTTTGCCGATTACGCAAGTGTGTGTTACGAACTTTTTGGAAGTTATGTAAAGTACTGGGTGACTGTAAACGAACCTTACATGCAATGTATCCAAGGTTATGGAAGCGGTATCCATGCACCTGGAATAACAGATACAGGAGTTGCGGATTACCAGTGTTTATATGCTCAACTTTTGGCGCATGCAAAGGCATATCATATCTATAATGATACTTTCAAAGCAACACAAAATGGTAAGAAGTGCATTGATACAATTTTAGCTACCATATTAGGTTAATCGTTATCGCGCATCGAAAAGTAACAATTGAAATAAATGCATTATTCTAATCCAGGTGCTGTAAAGTGAAATAAAATAATATATAAAAATACATTTTAGGCACAGTAGGTATAGCATTGGTAAGTCAATGGTATGAACCTCTTACTGACAGCGAGGAAGACAAATTGGCAGTAGAGCGTGGAATGCAATGGATGGTATGTGCCGTAAAATAATAAAAAAATACTTGGATTCTGAACAATACAATAAATTTAAGTTATACTGAGGTTTTTATTCCAGTGGGGACTCCAGATGAACCCTATTATATATGGTAATTGGCCACAAATAGTTATTGATCGAATTGGCAATTTCAGCATTGCGCAAGGCTTAAACAGTTCCAGACTTCCAGAGATTACCCAAAAAGACACCGCTTTAATCAAAGGATCTTTCGACTTTGTGGGATTAAATTAGTAAGTTAAAGTTGCAATAATTTGACATCATAAAAGTGAAATTTCTTACATGGACGCGAAAATGCCGTCAAATTTTTTATTTTTATTTTTTCCGGGAGGAACATTGATTGTGGTATAGTAGAGCGTTAGACTGGTAATCTAAAGGTTCAAATCTTAAGTTTTCATCAACCATTTTTATTTCTGCCATGCCACGATCAATTTTCGAATAAGAATGTTTGCTTTATGTGACCTATGTACAATAGGCAAATGGAGAATTGCCTTTGAAAATGACTAATAAAGGCAACTTTTTAAGTTACACGACGTTCTATGCTTCCGCAATGACCGAAAACATTAGCGACATCAGTTACAATTCGGATAGGGGCATTATTCAATCTTCTGATAAAAATTGGGTTCTTGGAGCAAATACTTGGTTGCACGACGTACCCTCCGGCCTCCGAAAAATTCTGAAATGGATATCCATAAATTACCGTAGTCCGAGGATTTTAATCACTGAAAACGGATGGTCAGATTTACCAGAAGTGGTGAATGATACTGAAAGAATAAATTACATACAGGTAAGTAAGGGTGTTTTAAAAATGATTTACAATTTTATTTTCAATCAAAATATTTTAGTTATTAGCGCAATTAGTAATTTACATGTATAAATATTTCAACGATAAAATTTTCAGGGTCATACTTGCAGTTTATTACAAGCAAAATATGTAGATCAAGTGGATGTTTTTGGTTATATCTACTGGAGTTTAACAAATAGTTTTGAATGGAAGACCGGATACTCGTGAGTTGGTATCACGCATTATTTAAAATATAAGCGAATATATTTTCTTTGCTTATTTTAGTGAGGGATTTGGACTTATACAAATCGACTTTAACAGCCCCAATCGTACTAGAACACCCAGAGCATCTTACTATTATTATAAAAATCTTATAGAAACTAACTGTTTGAAACACTGTGCATTTAGGTAGTGCATTAAAATCTTAGGACACACCAAAACTGTTAAATCATATACATAATATAGAGAAGCATAATCAATTCTGTCAGAACCAGAACATTTATATAAATTATAAACGTCCAATTTTATAGGAGAGTTGAAAAACAGTTTTTTATTATGCATTTTCATCCCCTGAAAATTCTACAAATCAAATAATGAGTAAACTTTTTAAGCTTTGTTAGAACTGTGCGCCGCAGACAACATACGCGTTCAGCAGAATCTGTAGCGTTCAATTTTATCGGTTTTGAAGGAAGGATTGTCTTATTAGGATTTTTAGTGTTTGATTGTATGCTGGAAAGTGCAGACAATATTATTATTTCGGAAACTTAATTTTTATCATGGCTGTGAATGAACAATTCTTGCAGGAAGTACTTTTCGAAGAAGAACAACGCGAAGAAGAACTTTTACATCTAATCGGATCTCGTCGATGAAATAAAAGAGAAAATCGAATTATTTCTAACAGACGGCGTACGAGATCGATTTATTTCTCGTCCTCCTCTGGTGAAAACTTGGCCGTTTTTTTTATGTCTGCGGAGCGGTTTTGATAACTTTTGTTTCGATTAGGCTTAGAGGCAATTCGTACCAGCTGATAATTTAAGATGGCGATGACGAGCGTGAAGGTACCTTTACACTAAATTCTAATTGATTTCAATTTGAATGGGAATTGAATGTAAAGGTATCTTTATGGTTGGTTACTTAAAATGATTATTCAGTAACTAGATAACTTAATTTGTTAGCTATAATCGTGGCCAACTGGACTATTCTTATGGGAAATTGTACGCAAGAAATCTCTTATGTTAACTAACTCGGAATAGATTCCAAACTGAGCGGTTTTTATATAAATCTATTCAATACTAGTTGATAGGCCTGTCTGGCAGTGTAAATAGAATTGTCTGTCATATTAACAGAAAATCATTTGAAGAATCTATAATGAATGAATATTATTTTCTGTACGATCAAGGTCTAGTTGTAACTTTAGTCTCTTTGAAATTATACAAAGTGTTTCACGAACATCGAAACAGGCGTTTTGGGGTATTTTAAGGTCGAATTAAAAAAGAAAACGCTCATCAGACACGTCAATTTTGTATTCAAGGGGGAAAGTTTTTGTCACCATCGGTATTTCGCTAGGGTGCACCCCCTGGGTGGGGTGACTTCCAGGCAAGATGGGTCGACTAATACCTTGTTTTAAAGGTATTTCGATTCTCGTCACAACTGCGTATTTTTTTTGAAAATCGAATAATTAGTTCCCGAGATATTCACTGTTAAAGTTGCCATGAACTAAATGAGAAACAATTTTCTGGCCCTGTTATTCTCAAATTAGCCAATCCACCTGACTTTTCTCTCGGACACGTCAATTTCAATTTTTTCAGAAGCACACACAAAATGAAAATTGACGTGTCCGAAAGGATAAAGTCAGGAAGAGTTTCCCCCTTGAATACAAAAATGACGTGTCCGAGCGTTTTTTTTTTTAAATCGATCTTAAAATACTATAAAACGCCTCTGTTATGATGTTCGTGAAGCACTCTGTATAATGTTTGTAACTAGACAATAAAAAATGCGCCGATGACAGTTTTAGAATAGCATTATACTTGGCGTTTCAGCTAAATATCTACACGGTGTTCATTTTAAAACTTACCATCCCTATTATCTCGGAGTTGAAAATTTTCGAAAAAATCCCTGAAACACATCAACTATAAATTGAAAGGGGGTGATTTTTTATGCAAAATTCACCTTCCGCCTTTCAACCCTGCAGTCCCCAGAGCCACCCCCTAGAAAGAAAATCTTGAATGGGAAGGGGGGTCAAGTGATACATCATTTTGGAGGGTTTTTAATTCCACACATTTTGGTACTAAAATTTAATCCCTAAGTTCAACTGTTCAAATATTGACAGTTGAAAATTGACTTTTTTGCAACTTCGACAGGCTGTGAAACCTAAACGGTTAATTTTAGAGGAAAACCGATTTTACATTCTTGTCTTCTCATAAACTATCGTTTGACACCAACTTTGAATTTAACCGGAGATTAAATTTTTAGCCGGAATATTTGATCATGCAATTTTCAACTGTCAATATTTCCAAAGCAGTTAAACTTAGGGATTAAAATTTAGTACCAAAATGTATGGAACTAAAAACTTTCCAAAATGATGTATCACGCTTTACCCCCCTACCCATTCAAGATTTTCTAAGGGGTGGCTCTGAGGACTGGAGGGTTGGAGGGGGGAGGTGAATTTTGCATAAAAACTCATCCCCCCTCAAATTATAGTTGACGTGTGTCAGGAATTTTTTCGAACATTTTTCAACTCCGAGATAATAGAGGTGGTGAGTTTTAAAATGAACACCCTGTATAGATATTTACATTTCAACTCAATTATAGATAGGCATAAAAAAATTAAATGAAATGCACGTTTAAATTTTTTTTTTTCAGAATTTTCACAACCAATTATTCTTCCTTTTACTTGTTTAAATTTGCTACTGTAGTAGAGGTACTTACTATTGAAAAACCAAACTTTTGATACTGGCATATACTTCTCCTTTCTTTAAACCTTTACTTCTCCAGTAAAAGTTTACCAAATAAATTCAAGAGCCTTAGTGCAAGACCAAGACGGCAAGACTGTACCCTGCAAGACCAATACCAAGACCACTTATTAGACTGCAAGACCAAGACCGCACACGCAAGACCAAGACTAACCCGGTCTTGGTCTTGCATTCGCTCATCACTAGAGACAATGAGTAAAAAATCGAGCTCACGTTTGGATACCTCGCTTTACATACCTGTTTTAAACTTATTGGTTCTCAGCAGTCCAACACAAGCAGAATACCAAATCAAAGAACAAGAATATAACAACCACAATGCCATCACAGGTGTGAGCTTAAATAGCAAGTGGTGTCATTTTTCCGAAGACCTACAAAGCACAAACTGAAAGTCACCTGTCCTGTGTGAGCGAACTGAATTTACCAATTCACAAAGTCTTCGTTGAAATGACACTATTGGCTGTTTAGGCTCACACCTATGATGGCAAACCGCAAGAACGAGACCTTGGAAACATCCAAATGGTGATTCGGAAAACAAAATCCTGTGTTACGATAAGTCTAGCTGCAAAAACTAAGCCGAATGGACAATGGTAATGACCACTATCGACATAAGTAAATATGATAGTCGGAAAATATAAGCCGATAACAAAATGCGCTGGCGCTGTAAATAGCCAACATAAGGCCATCTGCTGCAGAACACCTAGTGAAAGCGAGGTTATAGAAAAAGAAATGGATGAAAAACAAATGAAAGTATTGCTTGAAAAAATGTTTATACAGCACCTAAAACCATTCAAAGCAAACATGGGTGAATTGAAAAATTCCGTGCAATTTATGTCAGACAGCTTTGAAGAACAAAAGGAAAAGTTCGAAGATATGTTAAGCGAGATAAAAAAGCTAAAGAAGGAGAATGAAACGCTAAAAACCAAACTCCTATATACTGAGGAAAGACTGAATTAGCTTGAGCAGAGAGATAAGGAGAAGAATCTAGTGGTGGTAGGAATACCAGAGCACGATGAGGAGGTTAGTGAGAGCATGGAAAAAGTGCTAACGGTATTGCACCTGCAACTTAATGAGGGTGACGTGCGGGGAATATATATCATCAACAATGGAGAAAACGCACCTATATCAATGAAGCTCAAAAAGTGCATTGTACGTACCAAAATAATGCAAAAAGTTAAAGAAAAGAAGGGAATAAAATTAAACGAATAAGGTTTGAATGGAGGGGATAGAAAAAAAAAATCAATGAACACCTAACAAAGCAAAATCAACTTCTTTTTAAGAGAACTAGACAAAACAAGAAGGAAAACAATTTTAAGGCTGCTTATGTCTCGTATGGGAAAGTGTACCTGGAAAAAAGTGAAGATAATAGACCAGTCAGGATAAAGAGTGAGGCTGACTTCCAACTGTAAAGACAGTGAGTTAACAAAAAAAAAAAAAATAATGAAAAAAAAACTCATAAAACTTAAAAAAGGCTGTAATCGAAAGTCTAAATATCTTATACATATGTAAACATTAGAAGCTTAAGGGGGGTGCGACCCAAAAATGAAAGTTTTAGTGCAAAAAAAGCTAAGAATAAATATTTAAACCGCATCTTGCTGCGATGGTCCGTTTTCGAGTTAGGGCGGTTCAAAGTTACAACTAGGTCTTTGTGACGTCACGCCGGATTATCAAGCACAGTATTAACAAGTGTGAGAATTTTCCAAAACAAAAGATAATTATCTCACTAAACGAATTGCAACCACTCAAAATATAGGGTACGGTTCACTAACGACTGAACGAACAGAAGAATGCGATTTCGGCGGTTGTGACGTCACAAGCTCTTGCATAATTTATCTTCACAAGGAATTTTCTCAGAGACCATTTCGAATATAGGACTGCGGTTTTCCACGAGAGATCTTAGGTTTTTTTCTTCATTCAAGTAGCTTTAGTCGTTTTTTAGGGTCACACCCCCTTTAAGGATCAAAATAAATGATCTCCAGGATATACTTTCACTTAACAAAAAAAACAATACATTTAATAATACTCACCGAAACATGGATCTACCCAAACGAACAAAACTATTTCAATTTAAACTCATACACAGCAGTCCACGACTATAGAGATTCAAGAGGAGGAGGTGTTAGCATTTTTATTAAGGATAGAATAAAATATACACTAAATACCAAATTCAACATAACAAAAGAAAATTGTAACATTGCATCAATATACTTACCACAACAGTGCACAACTATTTTTGCACTGTATAGACCAGCCAAAAATAAATTTAATTTGTTCTTAGCAGAAATTGATAAACTGCTTGAGAGTCAAAAAAGCAGATGTATTATTGTTAGAGACTTCAATCTGGATTTATTGAAAAGCTCACAAGATATTGATTCATACAGGGAGTCAATTTGAAAACTTCCCACCCCCCTACTATCTTGGAGTAGAACAATTTTCGAAAAAAACCCTGAAACACGTCCACTATAACTTGAAGGGGGATGAGTTTTTATGCAAAATTCACCTTCCCTCTTTCAACCCCCCAGCCCCCAGAGCCACCCCCAATTTAAACTAACAAGCAAATTTACATATAAACTTCATAAACCT